GGATATCGAAGACGACAATTGCTATTCCAACGGTACTACACACTCAATGAAGGGAACACATTTGTTTACTGCCACGATATAAAGGGACTGATGGAGGCGATTGCCATTAATTATGTCGCAGCTGATTGGCGAATGTTCATCGATTCTTCGAAATCAAGCCTGAAAGTCGTTTTGCTACATAAATATAATAAAAAACCAAGCATTCCCATTGGCTACAGCACAGACATGAGCGAAACATACGATTCCATGAAAATAATTTTGGATAAAGTTTGGTACACTGATCACATGTGGCGAATCAGTTGTGATCTGAAAGTCGTGGCGATGCTAAGAGGTCTCCAAGGAGGCTATACGAAAAACATGGGTTTCTTGTGTCTTTGGGATACCCGATTTAAAGGAAACCAATACGAAACGCATGACTGGCTTGCTCGAGATCCAACGGAGAAAGGACACAACTGCGTAAATGATCCACTGGTGCCAATGGAGAACGTCCTCATGCCCCCTCTCCATATCAAACTGGGAATCGTAAAAAATTTCATCAAGGCCATTGTGAAGCAACCGAAATTTCTTGATTGTTTGAAAAATATTTTCCCACCAATCTTCTTCTTCTTCTTCTTCTTTTTTGGCGCTGTAACCGCCTAAGCGATTTTGGCCGAGTTCAGCAAAGCACGCCAGTCATTTCTCCTCTGTGCCAACTGACACCAATTGGAAACGCCAAGTGAAGCCAAGTCCTTCTCCACCTGATCTTTCCATCGTAGTGGGGGCCTCCCTCTTCCTCTGCTACCACCCACCAGCGGGTTCCGAGTTGAAGACTTTCAGAGCTGGAGCGTCGGTGTCCATTCGAACGACATGACCAAGCCAGCGGAGCCGCTGTATTTTAATTCGCTGCACTATGTCCATATCGTTGTAAAGCTCATACAGCTCATCGTTCCATCGTCTGCGGTACTCGCCGTCGCCAACGAGTAAAGGCCCGTAAATCTTCCGCAAAATCTTTCTCTCAAACACTCCAAGAGCCGCCTCATCGGATGTTGTCATTGTCCATGCTTCTGCGCCATATACCAGCACGGGCATGATGAGTGATTTATAGAGCGCGGTTTTCGTACGTCGAGAGAGGACTTTACTCCTGAATTGCCTACTCATTCCAAAGTAGCACTTGTTGGCAAGAGTGATTCTACGTTGGATTTCAAGGCTGACATTATTATCGGTGTTAATGCTGGTTACCAAGTATTTCTCTACTTTCTCGAAATTGTAACTGTCAACAGTGACGTGGGTGCCAAGGCGCGAATGTGCTGACTGTTTGTTTGTGCAGTGGGGTATAGTCGTTGCGCTGGGTATGCAGTTACAGTTGCATGGCTATACTCAATCCCGACTCTTGCGTCCTCGTTCGCGCACTCTGGGCAACGTGAGCAACCCATGTGCGAGATGCGGTAACCAATCCGAGTGGAGCCTTGGGTCACGGCAGAAAGAGAGGGAGCTTCGGTGGGGCCACTCTGACTTATTCGGTTTAAGGGCTCACTGAAGTCTGCAGCGTCTGTTCACCAGTAGGTGCGGCTGCAAGCGGGTGTCTGCTTGGAGCAAGCGGCTCGCTATATAAACGTGTATTTGGTTGCGAAACCACCCCCGTCCCAGCAATGGGTTGTGCGCTGGGCTTGGGACCCGCCACGTAAAAGCCACTTCCAGTGAAGAAGCAAGGCAAATCCTCGGATGAAACCCCCTCTTATGATGACGACCACGGCAAACGTTTAAAGGACTACGATTTGAGGGCATGCACCTGGAATGTCCGGACCCTTAATGGGGAAGGTGCCTTTGCCCGGCTGGTTGATGTCCTCGTAAGGACAAAAGCTGACATCACCGCCATCCAAGAAATGCGTTGGACGGGGCAAGGCAAACAATGTCTGGGGCCTTGCGACGTCTACTACAGCTGCCATGTAAAGGAGCGCAAATTCGGTGTTGGATTTGTGGTGGGAGAGAGACTCCGTCGCCGAGTACTGTCGTTCACCCCGGTGGCCGAGCGTATAGCCACAATCCGCATCAAAGCGAGATTCTTCAACATCTCGCTCATCTGCGCCCATGCCCCGACGGAAAAGAAGGATGAGGCATCCAAGGATCACTTCTATGAGCGCTTGGAGCGCACGTACGAGCGCTGCCCCCGTCATGATATCAAAATCGTGCTTGGCGAAATCAATGCCAGGGTGGGCAAAGAAGGGATCTTTGGAACCACCGTCGGAAAATTCAGCCTCCACGACGAAACGTCCGACAACGGATTGAGGCTGATCGACTTCGCCGGGGCCCGAAACATGGTAGTATGCAGTACTAGGTTCAAGCATAAAAAGATCCATCAAGCTACCTGGCTGTCTCCGGATCGAAAAACGAGAAACCAAATCGATCATGTTGTGATAGACGGAAGGCACGCTTCCAGTGTTTTAGACGTACGCACACTCCGAGGCCCAAACATCGACTCGGACCACTATCTTGTTGCAGCCAAGATACGCACCCGCCTCTGTTCAGCAAAAAATGTGCGCCCAAATATGCAAGGAAAGCTTAACGTCGAAAAGCTGCATTCACAACAGACAGCCAGCGCTTTCGCTACTCGACTCTCACACCTGCTCTCAGAGAGCACTCTTCAACAAACCGACATATGCGAGCAGTGGAACCACATTTCCCGCTCATTAAGTACCGCCGCCGAAGAAGTAGTCGGATTTCAGCGAGCCCGAAAGAACAACTGGAACGATGAGGAGTGTCAGGAAGCTGCAGAGAAAAAAGATGCCGCCTACAGGGCCACGCTACGATCGGGCGCAACGCGCGCTATGTGGGACCGCTATAGGGATCTGAAGAGGGAAGCGAGACGTATTTGCCGCAACAAGAAGAGAGAGGCAGAAATACGTGAGTGCGAAGAGCTTGAAATGCTGGCCGACAGGAGGAATGCCCGAAAATTTTACCAGAGAGTTAGGCGACTTACGGAAGGTTTAAAGACCGGGGCGCACTCCTGTAAGAACAATAATGGCGACCTAGTAACTGATGTCCAGAGCGTACTTAAATTATGGAGGGAACACTTTTCCGCCCTACTAAATGGCAGCAGCACAGAAAGTTGTGGAGAAGAAGAACCCGAGCCCGCAGTCGATGATGACGGAGTCGACGTTCCACCGCCTGACTATGACGAGGTACGTATAGCAATAACGCGGCTGAAAAACAACAAAGCCGCTGGAGCTGACAGCCTGCCAGCTGAGCTATTCAAGTACGGCGGCGAGGAGTTGATAAGGTGCATGCATCAACTCTTGTGCAGAATATGGTCAGATGAACGCATGCCCGACGACTGGAATTTAAGTGTGCTCTGCCCAATCCACAAGAAAGGTGACCCCGCCATTCGCGCCAACTACCGCGGGATCAGCCTTCTAAGCATAGGTTACAAGGTCTTATCGAGCGTATTGTGTGAAAGACTGAAGCCCACCGTCAATGAACTGATTGGGCCTTATCAGTGTGGCTTTAGACCTGGCAAATCCACCATAGACCAGGTATTCACAATACACCAAATCTTGGAAAAGACCCGCGAGAAAAGGATCGACACTCACCACCTATTTGTCGACTTTAAAGCCGCTTTTGACAGCACTAAAAGGAGTTGCCTATACGCCGCTATGTCTGAATTTGGCATCCCCTCAAAACTCATACGGCTGTGTAAAATGACGTTGAGCAATACCACCAGATCCGTCAGAATTGGAAAAGACCTCTCCGAGCCGTTCGCCACAAAACGGGGTTTCAGACAGGGCGACTCCCTTTCATGTGACTTCTTTAATCTGATGTTGGAGAAGATAATAAGAGCTGCAGAACTGAACCGCTCAGGAACAATTTACTATAAGAGCGTGCAATTGCTGGCTTATGCCGATGACATCGACATCATCGGCAACAAAAACCGCGAAGTCTGTTCTGCCTTTTCCAAGTTGGATAGGGAAGCAAAGCGAATGGGTCTGGTGGTAAACGAGGACAAGACGAAGTATCTCCTGTCATTTCCCACCAATCAGCGAAGCAAAACTGAAGGAATGGGCCGGATATACGAAAGCTCATGAAATCAAAGAAATTTATAGGTGCTTTAGACGATAATGATTACTTTGCGTGGAGGGCAGTGAAGAAAGTCATACGATATTTTTTGGGAAGTACGCGAGCACACAATTACCCCGCTCTTGTGACCAAGATGTTGCACTACTTCCAGAAAATTGGAGTGAATATGTCCCTCAAAATTCACTTCTTGCATCACCATCTCGAATACTTCAGCAAGCAGCTAGCCTCAGAGTCGGATGAACATAGCGAGCGCTTCCATCAAGTGGCAATGCCAATGGAAACGCGATATAAAGGCAAAGGCTCGATTCGCTGGTGGCTGAAATTTGTTGGTGGTCGCAAAAGACGTACGATCCCGACAATGAAGATGAAGAAGGAGAATATACAATGGGAGTTTCCTCCGAGGGTAAGTCACAAAAATGAAGTTAACTGACTGATTAAAAACAATTGATTTTTTCCAGATGAAGACAGATCCTCATCCGATACAGACTCTGAACAAGTGGGCGAACCACCACGCAAGAAAGTAAAGGGCGCAAACAAACGAAAATAAGTTTTGCGTTCATCGATTTTTATAACCTACGTATCTATGTAATAACCTAATAATTACCTGTAATAATTTTTAAATTTACTTGTTAATAATAAATAATATATAATAAATATTATCCAAATTCATTGAAACATAAAATCAATATTCTTGTCAAAATGAGATACCTTCACTTAATTGTGAATAAAAGCGAAACGCGTCCATCGATTTTCATGATCTATGTCTCATTTTGCTTAAAGGTTATGTGACTTTGCGTGAAAGTAATACGACTTGCCTTTTTTCCGTTTTGGATTTTTTATGAATTTAAAAAATAAAAAAATTTAATATTTTAGGCAAAAAATATTTTTTTTCTTCATACATTTATTTTTACCGGCAAAACTGTTGATTATATAGAAAAACGTTATATGGAATTGTAATTTTGAATTTTTTTAAATTTGTTTGAACAAAATCGGACTAGTGGTTCTCGAGTTATGTCAAAACACAGACCACCAAAGGTGACAATTTCCCCTATATGATAGTTACTAACTTCAAATCGATATATCTCGATTCCTAGACGTGACCCAGCGACACGCCGGGACACGTATAACTTCTTTTTTACCTATATAACTTTCCCCGGTAGTTTGAACCCTTCCCGATCACTGACCCCTACCATTTGTCTCACAGTGTTATTTTTTAATTGATTTTAAATAAAAGTCTAATTCATAATATAATAAACACAATAAATGTACAAACCTTGTACAAAAATTATAAAAACTCAGCAGGTTTTCGCAACAAAATACTTTGAATTCAGAATTTTTAGGGAGATTTCAAGTTTTCGATGTTATGCATTTTTTCTATATAAAGTGTGTTCGAAATTTTTTTAAATGGATCAAAATGTATGACACCGTCAGAAAAAAATATCAAAAATCATGGGGAACTGGCACTTTCATTTAATAAACTATAAAACTGCGAACTTAGAATCTTTCCAAAAATTCCTAATTAAAAGCTTGTGGCGAAAACTTACTTTTCGTACTGCATATTCACAACAGAATTCAGCGGTTTGCAAATAATTCTCACAGCCCTTATTTTAATTTGTAAGTGCTTTTAATTTTCACTTTTTGTAACTTTTTAATCTAAAATGTGGTATGTAATTTTTTGTTATATATTTTCATTTTATGCTAAACTTCTATATTTTATGATTGTGCCAAAACAGGATGAATTGTACCAAAAGTGCCTCTGAGAATGTAAGGGCCAAAAATGGCACTAATTGTGCCTACTTTTCCATCACTGCGTAGAAGTGCTTGATCGTATCAAATTGTAGAATCTATACAAAAAAATGATGCGAGTATACATACATATGTATGTATATATGTACATATGTACGAACGAACATTTCCTTACGCTGCAAGATTTGCTGCGATGATTCTTGTGAGGTACAAGTGCTTGTATCAAAAGTTACGAGTAAAGTAACGATACGAAAGATACGGGTGTTGATTGGATTAGTACCGAATACATAAGGGGATCCGAAATTTCGTTACTTTTACAGCTCTACTGATGTTACAACAAATTCGTACACCCGAAACCCTCTACCAATGCCTGTAAAAATTATCTGCAACTAACTTTTCAGTGGACTTTATTTCGACTACGAGTATTAATTCTATTTTAAGCTAGTTTAAAAGGTTAAATAACATCAAGTTAGGGCACTTCATATCCTTATTTAACGAATCTTTTTTCTCTTTAGGTCTTCTTGTAATAAAAGCGTGTTGTTGGTTTTTTTAACTATAACTTTATTACTCATTAGATTTATTTTTTTTACACACCTTTCCTTTCCTCCTTCAAGGACTAACCTTGAAGCTATCATTGGAGGTCTAATATTCTATTGCATTGAGTGTTGTTCATGTTGATGTTGATGCTGTTTCGGTTTCATTGCAAAAGAATATTAGACCTCCAATGATAGCTTCAAGGTTTGTATTTTTATTAAAACAAGAAAAAGGAAAGGTGTGTAAAAAAATTAACCTAATGAGTAATAAAATTATAGTTTAAAGAAAACAAATAACAAGCTTTTATTACAATAAGAACTAAAAATAAAAAAAATTAAATTATTTATTGATTTAAAGATTCGTTCGTGAAGTTCCCTAACGCATTGATGTTGATACGGACCTTATGGATTACTGGGAGAGTAAAAAATTTATATATCCCCGACTAGGAGATCTGGCATGTACATATTATACATCAAGTGCCACCGACACAAGCCAGTGTAGAACACGCGTTCTCAGCACTAAGCTTATTCTTAGCGATTTGCGATACAATTTGTCGGAGCAGAACTTGGCAGCGATATTTATTGTTAAATTGAATTCCGAATCATTCCTGTAAACAGGTGAATAATTTAAAGCTTAAATTAAAGAAACTCAATATATTTACAGAAGATAAAAAACTGCAATTGAGAGGATGTGCATTTTTTATTAAAACATATTAGTGGTATTCACTAAATTGAGCAAGTGGCCTGGCAAAAGAGCAGATTAGCTCAAGCAATGCCAGTTGTCAACAGTCGTTGCATGAGCTCATGTGCTCTTTTGCTAAAGTGCCAGGCCACTTGCTCAAGTTGGTGAATACCACTATTGTATTGTGAATGTGTAAACTGCTATGTTCACCGAAACAACAAAAGTCAGATTTAACTTTTATAATTGACCGAAAAAATAAAAGTCAAGTTTTAACTTTTATATTTGACCGAAAAAATAAACGTCAATTTTTAACTTTTATTTTTGACCGAAAAAATAAAAGTCAAATTTTAACTTTTATATTTGACTGAAAAAAACAAAAGTCAAGTTTTAACTTTTACTTTTGACTGAAAAACTATCAGTAAAAGAATAACGGTAATTGCTGACCTTTTTGAAAACAATAAAAAAAAATAAATCATATAGGATTAACATTCCTTGGCTAACAAGCATCACATTGCTGTATACAAATTTTAAAAAGACCAATTCTTTCCGACTGACTTTTTTAATTGAAATTTTGAAAATAACTATTATTTTCGGTCCCTGGTTTTGAAATATATTTCACGAAAGCAAAAAAATAAAAATAGCTGAGACCCCTTTCTTTTTTAAACACCTAGGATATCACTGACCATTAAAAAGGTACCTGAATGACCGCAAACCTCAAAGCTTTACACATTTTTGTATGTGGTTTTTAAAATGAACGATCCAAAATTAGCCGGTATACAATTTAAAATTTTTTAGAACCAGTGGTAGAATTTTTGTACTGTAAGGGTTAACCCTAAAAGTATAATCTACGTCTGCGAGGCGTATACGGAATGGGATTTTTTTTTTAATTTTAATACAAAATTTACTTTTTATTTTGTTGTTTTAAATAAATGCGGTTATAACTTTTATTAATAAAACTATGTTTTATTATTAGTCAAACTCACAACTTCAATATTCTTTAAAAAAAAATAAGACAGGACTAAGTATATTTTAGCTCACAAGTTATCTTCTAAGTACATAAGCCTCTACGGCGTATGTTAAGGCTTTATGTTACTCTCAAATAGATTAGGCTTCTAGGGTTAAGAAAGCTTTGAAAGTGTGACATTAAATGCTTTTCACGATTAACGGCGCCAATTTTTAATGATTATTGCGTTTCAGATTAAGACTAATACCAGATATTGTGAAAGGTTGGACTGTACCTTAAAGATGACGGTTTGCTCATGGCACACTGCACGATGCTTAGAGTAGAGTAATGTCTTTTAAGAATTCTTATTTTCGTTGTTGGTGTTTCCGACAGGGTAGAAGTGTGATGTAATGTGACACTGAAGGTGGCACAACGCCGAAACCGGTTTGTCTCCAAACCAAATTTGACAAGGGATGACGGAAAATCGTTCCACATTACATCTTTTAAGAACTTAAAAATTATCCTTTGTTACAGGTCTCTAGCAATACAAGATTAATTGTTGTCTTTCAAGAAGTTCTTTAAATACATTTTGAGCTAAGTACTCACCTGTATTTCGGGGGTTACTACTAGTTTTAATAAATTGTTAGTTTAATTTCCTATAAAATTTACCTTTAGGTTTATGCATTTTAAGAATACATCGAAAATTTGTTTTAGAGAATCAATGTGAAATAATTGCAGAAACGATTAACCGGTTTGCTGAGCAACCGAGACGTTTGCTCTTTAAATAATTTTTGTAACACAAATCGGCAAGTACATATCGTCCCCCGCATGCCAGAAACAGGAATGTGTAAAGACGAAAGTTTTGGGATTTTTTTATAAACTAAATTCGATCCTGGCGACGCCCATGGTCACAACTCTGCATATACAAACAACTTGAATACCGCAGTATAACAGTTTTCAAACATTGTATTGATAAGTTTTGGAAGTCAGCCATACTTTCCATTAGTTGGATGTAAGTCCTATGAATTGATTTATGCAAAAAAAAATCTATAAATTTTTTTTTTTTAGTTGATCGGACTTTAGATCTAGGTGTGCGATATCATATATGTGAGAAACAAGTAAAACAGGTTTAGTTCTTAGTAACTAATAATGTTTCTTTATTTTAAATTATTTGTTACAACATAGGTATAGCTAGATGCGATTCGTTTGAAGGTAAAATGGCAACTGTCCTTTCGTTTTTAAAACAAGTAAGCGTCATGTCTTTTTCGTCAAGTTGTGGTATGTATGTATATCAGGTCCGTAGGGTTGCATTTTAAAGTATCTAATGGGTTCGTCCACTTCTTGTCGTTCGTCTGCGTGTCATTCCCACATTCGGCCGTCCTGATATATCGTTCGACCCGAACGATGGGTTCCAAGCCTTCATATGTTCGGCTACTGTTGTTGTCTTATGGGGGCCCTCATGGTCACCCACTTTCTCAACTACATACCTCCCATGTGGTAGTCGTTGTTGTACAGCATACGGTCCGAGGAACTTAGCTTTAATTTTTAGTCCACCACCATGTTTCGTTCTTTTTATTGCTACTAAGTCACCTGTGTTGTATTCAGTCTCTTGTTTGCGCTTGGAATTATACGAACGCCTATTCTCTTGCTGTATTTTTGAGATATTTTCTATAGCTTGTTTCCTAACATCTTCC